GCGACTGCTCTTTTTCTCTTCACGTTAGATGATGCATTTGAGGACCGCGTTAAAAGTACGTAATAAATTCATGTGTTTTTAGAGTAGTCCAAGACATCCGTGAACGCCGGTCGGTATCTCAAAGTTTCAATTGAGGACAAATATATCGGTTATGTTGTCTCGCGCATACACAAAAAATTTTCTTCATTAAAGTTAAAATCAAACATATGCATTATCTTTGTGCGAACAATGTGTGATATTACTGTACCTTTCTAAGACACGCCATTTTTTGCCATCATGGCCACAAGCACCTGCGGAAACTCCCATTCGCATATGATCCACCACATATTTGTATTTCTCGGAAAAACCCCATATACCGTTCTGACAGTCGCCATTGTTCGCTCGCCCGCTCGTGCAACGCGGATAAAGTCGTCTCCTCTGCATTTTTCATGCAGGCAGTTTGCCTCGTCATTGAGATTTTTTGCGATAAAATGAGACGACGGTAAGCCCGCGGTAGATATGACCATGGTCATGTAATTCCTCGCTTGCATAATCACCGCTCCATTGTTGTAATTTTAATTTTCAGCGTCTCTCGTGGGGCATCATAACTTCCGTCCTTAGACGTCGACAATTGACCGGTGGTTACCTTGCTATGGGTGCGCTTACTCATTGAACGTTTGCGTGATCAACTTGCCGCTATACAGTTGTTTAAAGGCGCACGCAGCCTCTACAATGCCGTTGCTACTATAATAGTTCATGGCTTCGCTACATTGGTGAAGTTACCGGCACATCGAGTGCTTTTTTGTTGAGCGACTTTTCCTTCGTATTTTCATTCGGATTGCAAAATTTTGAAAATTTGATTAATGTAATATTTTACGGGACTACCAATTAATACAAATCGTTAGATTACAAAATAAAATAAAGATGTCCTTGAGCGACTTCTCCCTCGCGATGAAGCTCGGTCTTCAATACGTCGGAATGTGGCCGGATGTGCCGAACGCGTTTTTCTGCCGGTGTATTTGGGTGCTGACCACCACCATAATGCAGATTTGTCAATATTGGTATCTCATCCTTCACTTTGGAACCGAAGATCTGTCGGACCTGACAGACGCTTTGAGCGTCGCTGTGGAGTATACTGTAGTATTTACGAAACTCATTATTTTATGGTTCAGTACTCGGTAAGAACATATCTCTTGCTCTGTCAAAAGTGGAAATTTATAGGAAATTTATAGGTCCACCTGAGAAGTTTTATTTTTCTATAACAACATATTTTCTCCAACGTCTTCATAAATCAATACTAATTCAGTGTTGATCGATATAAGCGAAAATTTTCAATCTAAAAGTTCTACTTTTTAATGTCACGTAATTCTAAATATATACTTAAGTTTGCCGACCAACATAGTCATTGCGGTGCGCAGTGATGATGTTGAAATACACTTTAGATACAGAACGTACTACAGATAACTGAATTGTTACTGCTGAATGCAGAGAGAATCAATCTCGCTTCATTACGGGACTTACTCGTCACCAGCTTAAAGCGAATCACTCATTCACCGTCGCGAAATACACGGATAGAGTAAATTGCCGCAGTATATTTAACGATGTCCTAGCTTCAATGGCTACGGAATGGAGGGAAGCCGCGGTCAATGAAGTGCACATTATGACAGATAAGGCCAGTCAGTCGCGTCGTTTCTCCAACTTGATTACTGGAATTCATGCGTCCGGAGCTATCTCGTACGGCATGAACATTCTGATGCAGATCTGCCAGAACAACGTCGATGAAGATGGCACACCGATCCGCGAATTCACGCTGAAGTTGCATCTGCCTTTCGAGTATATACGGTCACCGAGGTTCGAACTTGTTCAGGGCTTGGGATGGATGCATCAGCTGTCGACTTCCGCCGTGAACGGCGTGTTGAACTCGCTGGTCATCACATTTGTGAGTGAGAATCTGCGAAAGGATGCTACAAGTGCTGGTGTATCAATAAAAGTGGTCAACAACGCCATAATTAAAGACAAATCTTCTCGATATATAATTTATACATATTGTTTAAACTAATATAGAAAGTATTAAAGCGATGTATGATTTATTAGTTTCAATAATGCCGCTGTCAAAACGAGAAGTTTATTTTCTATTATAAGGCTTTTGGCCAATTATTTTGTTACAATGCTACAAATTATTATTTCTTTCTAAGTAGATTCTGTCTTCGCGTCTGTCTTCTTGCGAGATTGTCGAACAGAGATCGCTTTCAGGTGTTTTACATCTTTTTGTCGAACAGAGATCGCTTTCAGGTGTTTTACATGGGCGGTCAGATAGAAATCCTGTGTGAGGCATTGAAGGACCTCTCCCCTGGCAAGTACAGCCATCGCTTGGCGTCTTCCGTCTTGGGCGAATTGGTGGTCAGGCATCAGAAGATCATCACCTTCTCCGACAAGATCGAGAAAATCTTCTGTTACATCGCGCTGATGCAATTCATGTCGGGCACGTTGGTGATCTGTTGCTTGGGATATATGATGATGTCAGTAAGTGACAGCTCGCGAGAAGGTATAATGTGCGATATCTACATTTGCTCCTTTGTGGTCGGTTCGATGTTGCAGTCGATTAGCAGCACGGAAGGCACCGA